GACTCATGGTAGTGCTGTGACTCATGTCTGAAATCTCCCCTCTTACAGGAATCCTGGCGTGGAGTCCACCCGTGGCTGAGCACTGGACTGTGAACCACAAGGTCAGCAGTTCAAACCCACCAGCTGCTCCTCAGAAACCCTATACAGGGTCACTATGAGTCGGAACCAACTCAACAGTACTTAACAACAACACCACATGAATGCCCAGGGGCCCTGGTAGCGCAGCACTTAGGCACTCATCGAGCAGCTGCTCCTTGCCATTGGCCTGGCATTCCCATGGGCAGATGCTCCTGCATGCTGATGACACGGATCTGCCCACCTGGCATGTGGCCCTGCCTCTGCCATTTCTCCCAGATAGGGATGCTAGATTTAGCAAAGGAAACTACAGGGCACCTGGTCATGTGTGAACTGAGGTCAACAGGAGATCTTTTTTTTTCATGTAAGTAGTTTAGTGTCCCCAGCAAAATTTGGGACATGTTCATACTAAAAAATTCATCATTGTTGATTTCAATTTGCATTTAACAGGGTGTCCTGTGTTTTATTTGGCAACACTGAGCGCAGGGCAGGGTAAGTCTGGGTCCTGTGTGACCTGGGGCTCTCAGCCTGGTTTCTGAGCAGCTGTCCTCTTGTCTTGTACCCTTCCCGCCTTCCAGAGAAGTTGAATCCATTTCACAGAAGCCCCTCCCACCTGAAACCCCCTCCCACCCACCCATTCCTCCTACACCTACATCATGCTTCTCCTCGCTGGCAAACATGGTGCGAGGAAAGTTGAGGAGAGGGTCTCTCCCATGAATTGTGCAGAGGGCGAGTCCTGGAATTCCACCCTGACCTCAGCTGACCTTGGGCCTCCACTGCCCCCTCTGTAGAATGGGGAGAGTCACTGTCCCACACATTTCTCAGCTTCTTCCTTCACTAACTCCCTCCATGTTCTGCGCTCCTCATGCGGGGAGGTACGGGTGGACGGTTGCTTAGTGAGATGCCTGAGGTGCTTGTCCTCTTTGGGCTGATGTTCTAATTTAGATGAATAAATATGAGGGAAAGTAAAAAAGTATTGGTACGAATCATAGACAGTTTTATTAAACAAAATTATCAAAATGTCCAGCTACTGTTTCTCAACGGATCGTCCATCTACGTACATAAACCTCTGCAGGGGTGTTTCCATCTCTCTAAGCCTTTCTCCATAGAATCCTGCTCTCTTCAGTTGTTGTTGTTAAGTGCCGCTGAGTCGGTTCCGACCCATAGCGACCCTGTATAGGGTTTCCGAGGAGCAGCTGGTGAGCTTGAACCACCAACCTTATAGTTCAAACGACTTTGCAGTCTGGTGCATTAACCCACAGCGCCACACCAGGACTCCATAACCTGTGGTGCAAACCTCTCTGCCTTGAATTAAACTGGCCCAACTGATCCCCCTAGAAACCACTGTTTTGATTGAACCTGTTTTTTGAAGGCCTCCAAGGCCTCCTAAGGAGACTAGGTAAAGAGTAGGACAGAAAGAACTTGTCTGCAGCCACCCACCGATGGCAGAGACAGGTTTACACACATTTTGTTCGGAATAAACCCATGCATGTATGAACTGGAACCCCACTAGCAATACTTTATGCCTGGGCCTCATATGTCAGGTGCTGTGGAGTCAGTTACAACTCACAGCAACATTATGCACGACACTATGTGCAACACAACGCACACTGCCTGGTCCTGTGCCGGTCTCACAATGGTTGCCACATTTGTGTCCCTTATTGCTGCTACTCTATCAGTCCATCTTGCTGAAGGTCTTCCTCTTTTCTTTAAAATCCGCTTACAATTTATCCAGCATTTGAATTGTACAAGGATAAATACAGCCAAGAGAAAAAGAAGAAGAAGAAATGGAAACACAATGGGTCTGCACCATCCAGGGGCCTGAATTATGGTGTGTGTGAAATATACATCGAGCTTCAAAGACTTAGTATGAAACACAGAATGGAAAAAGAGTATCCTTTTAATCATTTTTGTTATTGATTGTGTGTTGAAAGGATAACCTCTTGGGTAGATTGGCTTAAAGAAAATTATTATTAAAATGAATTCCACTTGTTTCTTTGTACTTTTTTAGATATGTTGTCATCATAGACATCTATACATATATGTAGGTTGTTGTGAAGTGCTGTTGAGTCAATTCCAACCCATAGCGATCCTGTATAGGGTTTCCAAGGAGCCGCTGGTGAGCTTGAACTACCAACCTTGCTGATCAAATGGCTTTGCAGTCTAGTGCATTAACCCCCAGAGCCACACCAGGACTCCTTTTTAGACATGGCTACTAGAAAATCCAAGATTGCGTATGTGGTTCGAATGAGGTTTCCATTTTGAGAGAGTGACTGGGTGAGGAGGGGATCAGAAAGGGGACAGGGAAGCCCTCAGTGAACTGAGCCTCAATATTCAAAAAAGACTTTCTAAAATGGAAAAGTTGAAACAAATATAAAAGTAAACAGTATCATAAACTTCCACGTACCCATTGTTGTTATTGTTATGTGCCATGGAGTCGGTTCTGACTCATAGCGACCCTGTACAGGGTTTCAGAGGCTGTAAATCTTTATGGGAGCAGAAAGCCTCATCTTTCTCCCGCGGAACAGCTGGTAGTTTCAAACTGCTGACCTTAAGATTTGCAGCCCAATTCATACCCACTATGCTCCCAGAGCACCTTACTCAGATTCAAAATTCTTAGTGCATGTTGTTGTTGTTAAGTGCTGTCGAGTCGGTTCTAGCTCACAGCAACCCTGCAGAGATTCCGAGGAGCGGCTGGTGGGTTTGACTCATGGTAGTCTCAGGTGACAGAATAGGATTTTCCAAGGCTGCAGGTTAATGCGCTGGACTGCAAAGTCGGTTTGAACTGCAAGGTCAGCAGTTCAAGCTCACCAGCCACTTCTCGGACACCCGGTTCAAGGTCACTATGGGTTGGAATAGACTCGACAGCACTTAACAACAGTCTTTGCAGTAGCAGACTGCCTCATCTTTCTCCGTGGAGCAGCTGGTGAAGGCAAGTGCTCAACCCCTGCCTCCCTGGGGGCACCTTCTCAAAACAGCACAAGACTTGTCCAAAAACTGTGGCCTAAAACCTGGGGTGTTGACAGAGGCAGGAGCCAGGTACCAGGAAGGGCTGGGCTTTGCCTGCAGACTCTTGGCAGAATCAGTGGTGGAGATTGTCATAGAGAACACACGTTCCCAACAAACAAGACATTTCCCCAGGCTCTCTTTCCTTCCTCATCAGCACCCATTTCTAGGACCCTCTTCTCCTGTGGCCAGAGTTGAACTCACCCTGTGCAGAGGTGGCAGAAGGACATTCCTCTCTGCCTCCACCTTCCATAGGTGGGAGCCCAAACCCCCTGATGACCACCAGACTGTGGACCTGAAGCTCACTCTGCAATCCACACACTGGCCAGGGCTGTGAATTCTATCACCATTTCTGCACGTGTTGTTTCTACAGACAGGATGTGTCCCCAACACAGTTAGAAATAGGGAGCTGAAAATGTTGAGGCTCAGAGGAGCCAACAAAATTCCTGAGAGACCTACAACCCTTCACTCAGGCAAGTTTCAAAAGCAGCTTTTTATATGGTGTGGCACTGTAGGATCTGCACTGGACTGCGAACCACAGGATCAGCAGCTCCAAGCCACCAGCTGCTCCTCGGAAACCCTATACATATACAGTATGTCGCTATGAGCCAGGTGACACTTAGCAACACCAACTTGATCTGAGGTGGTTCTACAGACAATGGTCCTGCCATCTAGTGCCGCCATTACAGAAAGGCCCCAAGTCTGTGTGCAGGGACAGGGAGCTTTCTCCTGGTGGGGATGCCATTTTGGGGAGTATTTTTAAAAAGTATTTCCCAAACGTTGTGCTTATGGGGTAGCTTCTAAAAGTTCCTTAGCTAAATCCAGTGACATCAGTCCCTCTTGAGTGGGACTGAGTCCTGGTGTCACAGCAATTAAGCGCTTAGCTGTGACCTGAAAGGTAGCTATTGTGAACCCACCACACCCGCCAGCTGCTATTCCGGAGCAAAGACCTAGACACCTGCTCCCGCAAAGATGCCCGCCTTGGAAACCTTATGGGGCAGTTCTCCTCTGTCCTACAGCGTGGCTGAGAGTTAGAATCAATGCAAAGGTAATGGGTTTTGGATTCTGACTGGGGTGGGACCAGGCACCATCAGCAGTCTGTATAGCTCCCCAGGTGTGGGGTGGGCAAGGGGCAGAACCAGAAGTTCTGGTGCCGCTTCTCAGCCTCCCGGGTCTGGTCAGGGTGCAAAGTAGCTCAAGAGCTCTGGGGGGGCCCGAGGGTCCTTATTTCTAAGACGCTCCTAGGGACCTCAAGCCTGCTAGTCTTGGGACCACACTTTGATTGGTAGGAACCTGAATCACCATGGCGGGCCTTTCTGAGAAGGACTGTTGGCTCTTCCTGCCCAAGTGACTAAGGGTGAAGAAAGTGTCAGAGAGGCTAGGATGCCCAAGGCCCCTGACTCCTGGGCAGCTGTGGGGGTAGGGGTTGCAAAGGCTGGGAGTGAGAAAAGACATGTGGTTGCGGAACATTTAGGGACTTTTTCCTCTGACTCTGAGAACCACCAGTGTCAACATAGAGTCAAGTTGGGGTTCAGAGTCTCCCCAAAGGTAGTAGTATGGTGGGAAAGTCCCCTTGGAAGCCCCATTTGGGGACAAACTGTCATTCTCAGTCATCAGTTTGGGGTTACTTCAAGAACAGCCCAAGCTCCTGCTCTCTGCCACCACCATGTCTGCATCAGTTTGTGGTCCTCTGATGGCCTGTGTGTTGCTGTGATGCTGAGAGCTACGGCATCACTATTGCAAATAGGAGCAGGGTCTTCCATTATGAACGGGTTACGGCAGAGCTGCCAGACTCTGGCTAGAAGACCAGCCTGGTGGGGCATCACAGAACACTACCGGAGACTGATTCGCTGACTGTGGACATGTCATCAGGAATGACCAACTGCTAGGAAAAGGCATCAGTGAGCCGTCTTGACGCAATGACTGCAACAATGGAGTTGGGCATCTCGAAGGTAGCACTGGACTGGGCAGTCTCTCGCTCTGATATAATGGGCTTGTCAGGATATGCCATCAACTTGAGGGCAGCTAAGATCAACCTTGCCATCTGGGAGTCACTCCACAAAGATGGGGTCATCCTCCTCTCCTCCCCTGGGGGCAGAGGGCTGAGGATGCATATGTTGGCAAGTAGCAGGTGGCACCAGGTCAGACCTGGGCCCCTGGTATTCCCTCCCTAGGGGAAAGCATCCTCCCTGCACACAACTTGTCATGCCCTCTGTTGGGTAGGTGGGGGTGTTCTGAAGGGAATAAGGAGTTGCTTGCTACTACGAAGATTCTCTGACCCCACACCAGACCTGAATCTCCAAGGTCCTGGGGCATTCTGGGATCAAAGACTTTTGGGAAACACTGACTCTCTCCAAACCCTGAATGAGATTGCCTAACAGTAGTATTCATTCATTTATCTGACCACTTAGTCATTCAGCATCAGCACCCACGACCTTCACTGAGCCAACCTCACTCCTTTAGCAAGATCGTGTCTGTCTATATCCACTCCAGAGCCAGAACCCGCTCGGCTCTGACCACCCTAGGCTTCACACTCTCTCCCTCTTTTCTCAGCATCAGCGTTTTCCCAACAACCTCATTGGTCCATTCCAGTTGAGCCCCTCTGGCCCAGGACCCTCCCACCTGCTTCTCTCCTGCGACTGCGCTCTGGGCCAGGCACGCCCCGCCCCCACACCACCCTTCTCGGAGATGGAAATTCTGGGCGCAGAGTAGGGCCCCTCCCATCAGCCCCTCCAGCCCCAGGCACCCGAGACCCCTCTGCGGTGAGAGGGGAGCCAAGCCTGGGGCCTGGGCTCCAGGTGGACTCCAGAAGATGAAGCAGGTAGGGTGGTGGGGATGCTGGGGCTGGAGGGCCAAGGCATGACTAGGTGGAGCATGCGAGAGGACCAGAGAGGATACGCTGAGCCAAAACGTCTGGGCCTGGGCCGGAGGGTGGAGAGGGCCTCGGGTCTCAGCAGGTGAGGAGGGTCCACCTGCTCTGAGGGGCGGCTTGGAGCCCAGCAAAATGAGCAGAGAGTGCCAGGCGAGTTGGGTGGTATACAGGCCAAATAGCCTTTGGTGCCCCTCCTCCAGGCCATGGTGGATGATACTGAGGATGTCTCCCTGGACTTTGGCAACGAAGAGGAGCTGGCCTTCAGGAAAGCCAAGATCAGGTACGAGGGACCCAGGGCTTCAAGAAAGCTTTGTTCATTCAGAATTTACTGAGCATGACTGTCCTGCAGACTGGGGCTAGGGACACAGTAGTGGCAGATAAGACAAGGTCCCTGCCCTCCTAGAACATGCAGTCTGCCGACATTGACACTGACCATGACCTTGGTTCATGACACGAATTGAACGTAGCAGGCAAATAGGAGAATTACAGAGAGAGACTCAAAGAGTGAGCCTCTGAGGAGGTGACGGTTGAGATGAGACTGAATGATGAGAAGCAGCCAGCCATGGGAGACTCTGGGGGAGAGTGTTCCATGTAGATGGCACAGCAGGTGCAAAGTCCCTGCAGCTGGAGTGGAAGGCTGTATGTAGGGTAATGGGAGCTGGGATAGAGGCTGGCAGGCTGGAGAGGTGGAAAGGGCTTGAAGTCTTGCTCTGATCCCTGCCTCGGCTTTTGTTGGACAGAAATAGTGTCTGGTTAAGTTTCCCGCCTGCCTGAGACCATCTCAGCACCCTGGAAGGTGGCAGGACCAAGGCATGAGGAATGATCGTTACATGCCATTACCAAGGACCCAGGCAATGGCCACATCCAGGCACACCCACAGCTTAGCCACGCTAACGGCCCGGTCCTGCTGCAGGTCTCATTCTAGCAGTCAGAGACTGAGCGTGGGGCCTGGCTCCTACATGCATGCCTTTCAATTTCCTACAGTGATCCCCAGAACGATGGGCTTTAAGGGAAAGCCCTTCTAGCTAAAGACTATCTAAACTCATGTACGCAGTCACCAAGTCTCCACCAGACATCTCTGTGTGACTGACCCTGGATGGTGATTGGGGACACCCAGCCCACAGGACACAGCCCTGCCCGCCACAGCTGCCCAGCTACAGCAGGCCTGTTCCATGTGACGTTAGCTGGGGTACCCTGTAGAATGAATGATCGGCCTGTTCCATGTGATGTTAGCTGGGGTTCCCTGTAGAATGAATGATCAGCCTGTTCCATGTGACGTTAGCTGGGGTACCCTATAGAATGAATTATCAACAGCATCTCTGGCTTCTACCTACAAGGTGCCAGTGTAGTAGCTAAGTGCCCTCGAGTCGATTCTGACTCACAGAGACCCTGTATAGGGTTGCCAAGGGGCAGCTGGTTATGACAACCAAAAATGCTCTCCAAATTGAAAAAATTAAACCACTGCCGTCGAGGCGATTCCAACTCATAGCAACTCTGTATAAGATTTCTGAGGCTGTAAATCTTTATAAAAGCAGAAAGCCTCATCTTTTCTCCCATAGAGTGGCTGCTGGGTTTGAACTGTTGAACTTGTGGTTAGCAGGCCAGTGCTTATCCTACAGTGCCACCAGGGCTCCTTGCAATGTCCCTTGGACACTGCCAGATATCCCCTGAGGGGCACAATCACCCCTTTTGAGAGCCACTGGTGGGGAATGGGTTGCAGACATGCCAACAGCTACTGTAACTCGGTGTTTTAAATGCTGTGATAGGTAGAAGCTCGGGCACCTCCCCTGTGTCTTGGAGGTAAGCTGAGACAGGTAAGGGTGGGTAGGAGTTGGCTAGACTGAGAGGGAGGAGCTGTGCATCCCAGAAGCAGCAGTGCGTGTAAAGGCTTGCAGGGCACATCAGGAAATTAGGTAGTCTAGAGATATCCATGGGAGCAGTCTGAGCAGAAGCTGGGCAGACCAGAAGGGCTTGTCATTGAACTTCGAGAACTGTGCAGCTGTCCACTGGAACTTTCCACAGGGATGGAAATGTGCTGCATCTGCACTATCCAACATGGTAGCCACAAGTCACATGTGAGCACCCAAAATGTGGGTGGTGTGAGCAGGAACTGAAATGTTCATTTTAATGAATTTCACTTCACTTGAATGAATGGTCACTGAACTAGCCCCTCGTGTGGCCCTCATATTGGACACAGCAGGCCTGGAGTTTGGGCTTCATTTTCAGGTCAGTGGGAACTGTGAGAACTGCCAAGGGTCCAAGGAGCTCCAAGGATGCTGAAGCTGAAAGAGACTCGGATCCTCCCCCAGAGCCGGCACACTGGGAGAACCTTTCCCTAGACTGTGGCGGGGAGAACTGTTTTCTGCCAAAATTTTTATCATCGTTTGCCGGCCATAAAAAAATTATCAACTTAAAAATTAGCTTGCTATATTTGGTCAAACATTATATTAACTTACCCTACAGTCGCTGGTAGCGTAGTGGTTATGAATCATGCTGTGAACCACAAGGTCAGCAGTTCGAAACCTGCTGTTCCACGGGAGAAAGAGGAGGCTTTCTGCTCTCATAAAGATTTACAGCCTCCGAAACCCTGTACAGGGTTGCTATAAGTCAGAACCGACTCCACGGCACATAACAACAACAACAACAACAGTCACTGGAGAAGGGTATCATGTTTGGTAAGGTGGAGGGTCAGAGAAAAAGAGGAAGACCTCCAGTGAGATGGACTGGCCAAGTGGCAGCATCAGTGGGCTCAAGCGTGGCAACAATTGTGAGGTTGGCCCAGGATCGGGCAGTGTTTCGTTCTGTAGTGCGTAGGGTCGCTGTGAGTCAGTACCAACTCGATGGCACCTAACAACAACAACAAATATGATGGTGTGAGTTCTGGTGTGGCACTGTGGGTTAATGTGCTGGATGGCAAAGTCAGTTTGAACTGCAAGGTCAGTAGATCAACTTCACCTGCTGCTCCTCAGAAACCCTATACAGGGTTCATTATAGGTCAGAACTGACTCGACTGCACTTAATAACATAACCACAACAACAACATGATGGAGTCCTGGTATGGCACTATGGGATAAAGCGCTGGACCACAAGGTTGGTTTGAACTACAAGGTCAGTGGTTCAAACTCACCATCTGCTCCTCAAAAACACTATAAAGAGTCACTATGAGTCGGAACCAACTTGATGGCACTTAACAACAACAATGTGGTGACTGGAACTGCGGTTGCCTTGGCAGGGCCAGACCAAATGATTTCATGAGTGTTATTTGGCCCCACAGGTGGATGTTCCCTACTTCTGACCTATAGCCTAGAATTCTGTTGTGGCGCTGTAGGATCAGCACTGGGCTGATAACCTAGAGGGTGGCAGTTCAAACCCACCAACTGCTCCTTGGAAACCCTATACTGCCCTATACAGAGTCACTCTGAGTCAGAACCAACTTTATTGCACTTAACAACAATAAGAGCCTAGAACTGGCACTTCTAAGACTGGGGCAGAGGCATGTCCTCGGTGGGAACAGGATGTCACACTGGGGTTCTCTCTCTGGAACGGGAAACTGTCCCGCCTAAGGAAAGTGATGTTCACTACCTAGGTAACATTTCTGCACATTCAAAGGTTCTGAATTACAATACATTTCCACACACAGCAAGACTCAGTCCTCTGTCCCAGCTGGATTGTGTTCTCAGTGGACACAGCTGGTTTGTTTACGTGGTTTGTTCAGCAATTCATGGTGGTCCTTGTACATTCCCAAACTGAAAACAGAAACAAACCCATACCAACCCAAGTCATCAAGTCCACTCTAACACACAGCGACCCTACAGGACAAAGGAGAGCTGCTCCCTGGCCTGTAAATCTTTATGGAAGTGGGCCACTTCGTTGTTCTCCTATGGAGCCGCTGGTAGATTTGAACCATCAACCTTTCAGTTAGCAGTTCAATGCTTAAGCCAGTGCACCTTCAGGACTCCCTTTGTACAGCCCAGTAGGTGCCAAACTGAGAAAAGCACCGTCCTGTGGCCTCAGACTCTATCAGGAGTCACATGTTAGTGGACCCTGAGCTCTAAGGCAAAAATCACATAGCATGAAAACCTGCAGAATCCCTCCCAAAAGATGGTTCTCAGCAGTCCATCGAGTAGGGTGGCATCTTCTCTTCTAAGAAGACTAGCACATCGGATACAAAAACTCTTCCTTAAACAAGCCCACATGAAACTGTTGGCTGTTGTCTTTTGGAGAAGTTATATTGAGTGAAAATTAGAGTAGCAAACATGTATCTAGTACGTATTATATGGAGGTACCAGTCTCTGTATTTTCACTTGGCTGCTTTCATGGAAGATAATTCATTTAACGTGCATTGTTGTTGTTGTTGTGAAGTGCCATCAAGTCGGGTCCGACCCATAGCGACCCTGTACAGGGTTTCCAAGGGTGTAAATCTTTACGGGAGTAGAAAGCCTCATCTTTCTCCCGCGGAGCGGCTGGTAGTTTCGAACTGCTGACCTTAAGGTTCGCAGCCCGATTATTTTCTTCTACTCTATGCTTCTATGTGAGTCCTGGTGTGGTGTGGTAGGATAAGCACCGGACTGCTAACCAGAAGGTTGGCGGTTCAAACCCACCAACTACTCTTGGGAAACCCTATACAGAGTTGCTATGAGTTAGAGCGCACTCCATGGCACTTAACAACAACTTGCTCCTGTGTTTTACGGACTCCTGGTGTAGCGCTATAGGGTAAGAACTGGCAGGTGAACCAAAAGGTCAGTAGTTCAAACCCACCAGCTGCTTCTTGGAAACCCTATTTAGGGTCGCCATGAGTCAGAATCGACTCGATGACACTTCACAACAACAACAACAACACTAACCCAAAAGGTCGATGTTGTTATGGACCTTGAGTCAGTTCCTACTCATAGGTACGCGGTGTTGGACAGACCCACCTTCGTCTTCAAACTGACATCTTTGGTTTTACCACTTTAAAGGGTTTCATTTGCAGCAGAATTTGCCCAGTGCCGTATGTCATTTGATTTCTTGACTACTGCTTCCATTGGCATTGACTGTTGACCCAAGAAAAATGAAATCCTTGACACCTTCAGTGGTTTCTCTGTTTATCGTGGTGTTGCTTATTGGTCCAGTTGTGAGGATTTTTAAAATGTTTTTATGTTGCAGTGTGATCCGCACTGAAAGCTGTAGTATTTGGTCTTCAACAGTAAGGTGCTTCGAGTCCTCTTCATTCTCCACAAGCGAGGTTGTGTCGTCTGCATATCACAGGTTGTTAATGTAGCTTCCTCCAATCCAGATGCC